TAACTTAATTAACTAATAACTAACTAACTAACTAACACACTACTATATATATATATATATATATATATAATATATATATATATATATATATATATATATATATATATACTTGTGTAAATATGTAAATGAAGATATATCAGTCCTTCGGTAAAGATACGCCAATCTTTGATTGCTTTTGTGGGTTCTATATATTTGTAGGCGCATGTATACATTTAAATTTCAATTTGTGTGTTTCTCCGTATTTGTCAGGTGAGGTCGTATTTCGGGATATTTTACCTTTTGTACATGCATAGATTCTCACGTCTTTAACTGTGGGAATGCCATGGACAGTCTAAAATTTCTAAATTGGTGGTGAGCATTTCTCCTTTAGCCGCCAGCGATGAGAGTTCTTTCTCATCTTTCTCATTCCTGATCCTGATATTCCCTGTTACAGGTACATCTCTCAGAATGGATGCAAACACCAGTCCAGAGTTTCCACGCTACCAATCCTCTGGTTGTCTGCACACTGCTGATGCTAGGTACGAGTTTGTTTGAATGTAGCTCAAATTTGGCATCAACGCGATTGAGGCGATATCTCGAGAGCTTCTGCAGGTTATGTGCAGCCCAGTGTACGCGTAGAGACCTATCACTTGTCTTCAATTCTACATAGCTACGGATATAGCACCCCCCCCCCTCTTTGACTTGTGGTTCGCTGTCTTATAAGTTTTGTCGCATTTCCCGTATTGTTGTCGTTCCCAGCCACGTCGACCTATTGTTTCGTCATGGGCTTTCTCACCGGGAACTACAGCAAAGTGGACCAGTTGTGGAGCATTCTGCCGGTTGTATACTCCATCATCTTTGCAGCCAGCTCCAGATGGAATTCAAGGTGAGAGCGTCGGACGACCGGCATTGTGTCAGTCGGGTCAGACTCATACCGCACTAGTGTGTTGCTGTGTTGTTCTGTGTTGTGCAATGGGCTCTGCTCTGCTTATGGCGGCTAGTACTTGGTCAATTACGTATGGGCATTGCATACGACGCCTGCCGTGAGCTGTTTGAATCTTCTAAGTATTGGACTGTAGTTAATGGTAGACGTTTTTAAGTCCTAAAGGGCTCCACCATAGGCACCACGCACGCCTATGCTAAGGTGCTCAGCTCTACAGTCTGTCTGATGTGATTACTGCGACGTATCGACCCCTTTCCATAGCACTCCGCTCACTTGTCGGTGATGGGTGATCTTTTTATTGGTAGTTGTACCCCTGCACACTACGCAGTGCTATTTATATACCTGAATATATGACACGCCAATTTATACCATTGAATGTTGCCTATCACCCAGTCGCACGTACCACCATTATAATGTTTTACGACGTGAGCTTACATACCTCATTATGGCAGACCCACATTCATTGTATCCTTGAACTCTATTCACTAAATCGTCAAACGTCACCTAAATTGTCGCGTAAACTAGAACAACGTCTTCGTGTAAAGTGTCAATTGAATACTCCATCGCCAGCCCGAGACTGACGATCACGACGTAAATTTTACGCTCAATCACAAACAGTACAACTCAGCGCAGGCGGCACGCGAAAGGCACCAAGATATCACACCACTTATGTTTTTAATAAGCTGTCCGTTGCCAATTGTTCTATTTCAGTTCTCAGCTCGACTATGCCACTCCCAGGTGGGCAACCATAGCTGTCCTCCATAAACGTTACTAACACCGCAACACTACACAGACACTGAGAAACCATAGCAGTCCACCATACACTTTTTTAACACCGCAACACTACACAGACACCGAAAAACATTGAAATACCTGTCATATGTAGCGCATTCGTGCCCATCGTTATTCTGCTGAATATCTTTTTACCTTCTCACCTCGACCATGCGACTCTTAGGCTGACAATCTTAACCGTATTTTATTTGTTTATTTGATTTACAACAGTGGAACACAATACAGACGCCATGCGAAAGACATCTGAAAACCTGCTATACGTAGCACATATGGGCGCTTCTTTGTAGACTGATTTCTTACGTGTCACATTCTTGGCTATACACCTTCTAGGCTGACGGTTATGGCGGTGCTTGCTACACTCTGGGGTCTACGGCTGACCTACAATTTCGCCAGAAAAGGTTTGGGGGTTATCTTTGTGCCGTATTGTGCACAGAGTCGCTCGTTCACTTCTGTCACACTTCTGTCAATGTACACGTGTAGTACACGTGTAGATATATAGTACACGTGTAGATGTATAGTACACGTGTAGGTATATAGTACACGTGTAGATATATAGTACACGTGTAGATGTATAGTACACGTGTAGATATATAGTACACGTGTAGATGTATAGTACACGTGTAGATATATAGTACACGTGTAGATGTATAGTACACGTGTAGATATATAGTACACGTGTAGATATATAGTACACGTGTAGATATATAGTACACGTGTAGAAATATAGTACAAGTATAGGTTTCTTGTCTCGGGTTGTAGGTGTATACCAGCTTCTTGTCTCAGAAGGCCCGCTCTGCATGATCCACAAACCGAGATGCAGTCCGAGATTCGTGAGGAGATTCATTAGGAGATTCTTTGGGGGTTGAGTACGTGCACTGGAAGAGATGTCGGATATCACTTAACTTGTACCCCGAGTGTGCAATTCACTAAGAGTACAAGTAGCTTGGGCTTACTTACCAGTGGTTTTATTGGCCAGTTTAGAGCGGGGGTTGTGACAGAAGTGTGCTTGATGAGCAGTTCTATAGTATTGTGCTGGGCACAGGTGAGGCTACACAGGTACAGGATCGCAAGTGACAGTGTGACTCGTATCTCTTATGGCAATACAGCTGTAGCATTGCAAGGTTACAGAACGAAGACATGGCTACGACAACAACACAGCTATGACATTGCAACGTTACAGTACAAAGACATGGCTACTACAACAACACAGCTATGACATTGCAACGTTACAGTACGAAGACATGGCTACTACAACAACATAGCTATGACATTGCAAGGTTACAGTACGAAGACATAGCTACTACAACAACCCAGCTGTGACATTGCAACGTTACAGTACGAAGACATGGCTACTACAACAACACAGCTATGACATTGCAACGTTACAGTACGAAGACATGGCTACTACAACAACACAGCTATGGCATTGCAACGTTTCAGTACGAAAGCAAGGCTGTTGTGATATACTGCCGAGTGGGCGTATAGTTCCTCAAATATTAACTGAAGAGCACAGCGAACTCGCTTAACAGGCGAATAGCAGCACTCCACAACCACACTGGAGTCATACACTCTCAGACACACACTTAAATAGATGGCCACACTCGAGTCATACACTCTCAGACACATACTTTAATAGATGGCTTCGAGGTTGAGAGGTATCTATACTGAAGGGGAACAGACTACCTTGGCTTTCAATGCCCAATTCATTTGCAACGCCAAGTCCATAGCTGAGCATAACCAATCCTCCGTCACTTATGCTTTGTGGACTACATCCATAGAATGCATAGCAACATTAGTAAACGTTTATAGTATGCCTGTACCGTGTTGAGTATGTTCATAGACTACACAGGAAACGTCCACCTGTACTGATAGTTTGCTTGACTGTTTTTAAACACTCTGTGCGTGTTTGTGTTTCAGGCGGATACAATGGCGAGGAAGACTATCGATGGCTTGTCATCAGGAATATCATCAACAATCGAGGTGGGTGCTCCAAGATCTTATCATCCTATTCCGGTGTACGTGTATACGTACATCAGCGTGTGCACCTTCGCGTGTGTGGCTTGATGTGAAAGTGCACACGCGTAGCAAACAACTATGGTACCCACATCCACACGTGGATCCACATTCATGTTCACACGTACCGATACATTAAGCGGGCCATGCCGATTGATGACCGACTCATGATGGTGTAGCATCTGCAAACGGTGTCTATTTGTATGTCTACTGGGCGTGTTGTGGGTGTCTATTTGTATGTCTACTGGACGTGTTGTGGGTGTCTATTTGTATGTCTCCTGGGCGTGTGGTGGGTATCTATTTGAATGTCTACTGGGCGTGTTGTGGGTGTCTATTTGTATGTCTACTGGACGTGTTGTGGGTGTCTATTTGTATGTCTACTGGGCGTGTTGTGGG